ATTACTTGTGTTGATGTTATTGGTGTAATAGTTGTTAGCGTAACTGTGGACTTGACACAATCAGGATAGTCATCAGGTAATGTTTTACAGTCTACACATATGACAGAATCTTCACTTAGCGTGACATACCTACAATGCAATAACATCTTGCTATCAAGTAACTTGTCTTATATTTGTTAAATTATTGATTATAATTGGTTCAAGTGATTTCCTTTCTATCAATATCAAACCTATACAACACAATATAATATACAATTTTTTGAAACCATGAATAAATATAAATATACTAAGCCATTTAGGGGGGGTAAATTGTGTGTAAAATGCGATATACTAAATACCGGTACCACCAGTTCCCTCTTTCCATCACAAATGCACAAAATAGTCATGTTTATATTCTGCACTTTCCGTAAGAAAATTGGGACAAAAATAGCCAAATTTTATGAGTAAACACTGAAAATTTACTCAAATTTGGTCTGATTATTCCAAAAAATGGGTTCATTTCCAGAAATATTGAAGAATATAAGAAAAAAGTGCAGACAAATTTGGGCAAGAAAATCTGGTGGTGAAAAGGTTAAACTATATACATGTACCACAGCTTGTTGAAGTGAAGTTTAATTAGGGCAGCAGTCGATCATACCTCCCTTAAAGTTGCATATTGTACAAGACAATAAACAGTTTTTCAAGTGATTTCATGTCAGCTTTAAGTTTGCTAAATTAGCAATACTTAGTACCTGAGTAGTAATATTTATATACTTACCCTTTTTCACAACCTCCACACTCAGTGTCATGTGAACCATTACAAGGATGGACAATTTCACGGTGATCACAATGTTGACATCTACGACATGGCTTATTGCTATATTCATCACTAAAGGTAAGACTTGGACATACTTCACAACTATAACGTTCACCTATACCATTACCACATGTCTACAAAAATACAAATCAGTGTTTTTTGGAGTTTATTATTATATACCATTATCAGGCCTGTGATATACATGTAAACTGTCAACTGAATACATAGAAGATATCTCGTGAGTGTACCTATAATATCAAATTTACTAAACAGCTGTAGTAATTTTCATTTGTTCCAAGCCTTTGGTGGGAGAAGTTGATGTTGGAAGATTTTAAATGTTGTCTCAAATATATGTGGATATATATATCACTTGCCATTTTAATTGAAATCTGAAACTACTAGTAATATTCAAATTAATATAATTCTTAATAGTAATCAAGAAATATTGCGTAAAAACAGAAATATCTTGAAATATTAGCTTAATGATAATCTGTTATAATGTCCAAAAAGGTCAGTCTGCTGAATTGGACCAATTGCCGAAAATGGTATCTAGATATCAAATTGCCGGAATGGTATCTAGATATAGAAAATTATTATACCCCTTTATTACATGATATATTAGCTAAAAGGTATATATATGCAACAATGTATAGCAATATGAGATATGAGGTATGTTGATTAAATCATTAAAATAGTCCTTATTATGACCATAAAAACGATTCTGTAATTTAGATAAGTATGTGAGCTATACAAATAGAGCAAATGCTGTATATCTACATCTAGACTTCAAAGTGGTCCACCAATTCTTGATTACAAAAAGATGTTAGCACATACGTAAGCTACATGACAATAAGCGAGGTTAGGACAAAAGAATAAAATGTCAAAACACAGTCCCTCTATTCCCGGTCTAGAAACAGTCATTGTATTAGGTGTGAATTGGCCTCCTTCCCTGGCAGACGCGCATTACGGGTATGGGCAAAGCATTGTCACGTGATCAGTACGCAGCCGGCCACTATTTTTGACATCGTCAGTGTTGTGTATTTTTTTACAACTTAGTTGTTTATTCCAG